TGTCATTTAATGTAAGGTCCACATAATTTCGAATTTTTCCATCAAATCAAGATTGATAAATTTATAAATGTACACATCTATACACTATAATGGTGGTGGTAAGTACCATTTCTGTAGTGTCTTGTATTACACCTAGTTTAAAAACTGTTCCTGAAATCGGGAGGGCTTAATTTATGAAGCTGATATCCATATCATTTCATTTTTATTGTCACAGGATGTGGTGTTGGTGAGTTTACTTGCACTAATGGCAATTGTAAACCTGCTGACTGGGAATGTGATGGTATGGATGACTGTGGAGACAATTCAGATGAAGAACAATGCAATGGTGGTGGTAAGTACTGTCATTTAAATGTACGGTCCACATAAATTCGAATTTTTCCATCAAATCAAGATGTACACATTTATACACTACAATGGTGGTTGTAAGTACTGTCTTTTCAGTGTATGGTACACATAAATTAGAATTGTTACCATCAAATAGTCATAATGTATGGTGTTTCTTTTCACAGGATGCGGTGGTGGCCAATTCACCTGTGCTAAAGGCAATTGTATACCTGCTCACTGGGAATGTGATGGCATGAATGACTGTGAAGACAATTCAGATGAAGAACACTGTGGGGATGGTGGAGAAGGTTTGTAATATTTTTAAACAACGCGTTAGAGAATTCCCTCTCCCAACTAAACAAAGCATATACTCTCATGTAACAATAAACTACTCAAATGCCTTTAAATTATCCTCGACGCTGTTTTATAAATTAGACAGAGTGCCTGCACCAATGACTCTCCACCACTTCCAAATAAGTTAACAAAGCTATGAACGAATAATAGCGACAAGGACCATTCGATTACATTTTAGTAGATCAAACTGACATGTTTGACATGAATCTATTTTTATGGACAGATTTTTCACCATTGACACAACTAAAGAAATTTAGGGACGAATTGTCACGTCATTTTTAGAAGTTTGTCCCATTGAGACAATGACCAATCGTTGTAAAAAAGTTCGGGATCTGGTTGACATGAAAATATAAAGTTTTGGAAAAAAAAATAGCCAGATAACTGAATGTTTTCTGAAAAGGTTGGCTTTCATGCAATGAACATTCGATTCTATTTTTGGAAAGATCAAGTATCAGGTTGTCATACATGGAATGTTTAAGAGTGGTCGTTATTAATACAATAGGGCAAAGCGAAACTCATGAGTACTTTTGGTGTTTTTATTTCGTGCTTGGGTAAACAATCATATCATTTATTTTATTTCCCACTTAGTCCCATGTATCTTTGCGATGTATTGATGTGTTAAAAACAAAATAAAATTATTAACGTTTCATTTTAATTATATGAATCGTATTTTCCAATCCTTAGGGGTAGAATGGTCTGCTTGGTCAGAGTGGGGACCGTGTAGTGTTAGCGGGGACAACTGTGGAACAGGTGAAAGATCGAGAACACGTCAATGTCTGAACACTGGTAATACCGGTTGCATGCATGGCGAGTCAGTGGAGTACCAGCTATGCGCCACCCTGCACAACTGTGTAGAAGCAGGTAGGGTTTTCACACATATTAAGTAACATTATAGTAATCGCCACAATGTTTGATAATATCAATGAATCGCATTTTCAATTCTATCAATTGTAGATGATTGTAGCTGTTAATTAGTGTCTAAGTACTTACTATAACCAAATTGTCAGTATACTCAAATTGAGCAAACCACATGAAATCATACGTATCATGCGGAAAATGATTGACGTTGATGAATTAACAAATAAATGCGAACAATTTCCTCCTTAGACTCGGGGTGCGGTAGCCGAATTATAGCCAGCGAACCTCGCATAGTCGGTGGACAAAACGCTTTGCCCGGGGAGTGGCCATGGCAAGCACAGTTATATAGCATAGCAAATGATATTGCGGCATGTGGTGGAACACTTGTTGGACCAAGACACGTTGTATCAGCAGCTCACTGCTTTGATAACCCTCCAAAGTAAGTCACAAATGAAATCAATTTGACATCGATCGATCGCAACATATTTATCATGTACTCCTTAAATAGTTAAGTAGCTGATTAAGATCGCCAAGTAAATCCATTTCAGAATGTGCACTTTAAAGTACGGTGGTCGTCGCGCTGTGCATGTGCGACATTTGCGTCGATAAACATTGATTTTTCCACAATTCAATGCGCTCATCTAATGGAAATCACATACATGAGGTTTGACCTGGGCGCGACTTGCACTACTAACCGCCGGTGACTCCTTCGATACCTTCCAATCACCTACAACAAAAATACCTAATTAAAGCTTTGTAACGTCTGTTTGTACTCGTTGATCTGCGCAACAGTCAAAGTCACCATCTTTGTTTATATGAGATCCCCTATATATCTCGCGCATGCGTGGCGCGACGACAACCGCCCTTTAAACAATGGTCGCCTGTGCATTGGATTATCGTTTATTGACGGAACATGTAAAACTGTAGAAATTACAATGTAAATATTTGTACATATGCAATATATTCATTTATGCATAAGAAGCTATTATAGCCACTGACTTTTGTATGTATCTGTTTACAGCCCCACGGCCTGGAAAGTTCGTCTTGGTAGATATACTCGTGGCAGACCACTCAGTGCCGCTGATTCCCAGTCAGTTGAGGTTGACGTTGTAAAAATCATACTGCACGAAGATTATGACAAACCAGTGGATAGCGACAACGACATCGCATTACTTACTCTAAGTAATGATGTCGATACCAGCGACTTTATCAACTACGCTTGCCTTGATAAACAAATTACATTTTCTACGAACAGCTCATGTTTTGTCACAGGATGGGGAACATTGCATCGTAAGTGCTACAATCTTTGTAATCACTATTTGTGAATTTCACGTTGTGTGTTTAGTAGGTTATCCAATACGCCATCATTCCAATACCACTTCAAAAATATGCAATGCTTATTGCATAAATAAATAAATAATAAATTTACCATGGTGACACTGAAGGAAAATTTCAACTGACCCGAAAAACCTGAAAACAAGTTTTAGTTCTCTGGTCAAAATTGTTGCAGTTTTAAACAAGCCGCGCACGTCGTTGGCCAACCGAACCCCAGCTGCGACGCGCAAAATACGTGTAACGTGCGTTCAGTAGACGACGTGACACTGTTTTTTGTAACATTCGGCCTAGTGTCTAAAGATCAAATCAATACATTAAATCTCGTTTTCAAGGACTTTGACATTTACACGAGTGTTTAATGTGAAATAATACAACAGTAAATTTTGTCATTGCAGAAGGTGGATTCCAACCCAATATTCTACAGGAAGCAGTGGTTCCTATTCTTCCCGATGACATTTGTAGAACCCTTAATGGACAAACCAGTATAACGGACAACATGATGTGTGCCGGTTACATTGCTGGGGGTATCGATTCTTGTCAGGTAGGACTCGTGTTCAATATACGTATAAACCTGGTTATCCACGATTGTGCATCTTCGCTAGCCAAGGTCTAAATTTATTCGGCCAAGCCTCTAAACAGACCTTGGCAGAACGACAATCAAATATGCGTATTCTAACAGCACCCCCAATCGTCAGTTGAGGCTAATCATTGTCCAATCAGTTTGCGTGTTACAAATCACTATTTGGCGTTTCATTTTAAACAAAATGGCGGCGCCCGTGAATCGTGATATTTGTGATGATCTGACTGCTTAAGATTAGCCTATGCGACTCCGCACGGCATCATGTAGAGGCATATAGGTCGAAACACGGGACCGTGTGATTCGGACGATGCGATTGTGTAAATCCCCGGGGGGTCACTCTATATGCCGTTACTACCCCATGTGCGTTCCAAATTTAGCGGGGAAAGGGGTTGTTTTTAACCTTCTAAAGCCGGCCTGCGTGGGAGGCAAATAGGCCTCTCTTTAAAATTCTAATGTCTGCAATAGGCCCCCAGGAATTAACTCACAGGGTTGATGCGCCTGCTGTACACCACCACCATAGCTTGTTTGAGTTGATCACACCCTACTTGAGTGACAAAAATCCGGCAGAGAATGCTCGCAATACGAGTAGGATGTTCTCAATAAATGTCTGCAATAGGGGTGTTTTTTTCTTCAATATCATGATGTCTGCTCTAGGGGTACTAAATTTACAGTGCGTCCACAATAGGGGGTATGGTTTGGCAGCTGCCAGCCCTTGTAGGGGCCTATTATTTTTTAGCAAGAAAATCCCACTGCAATTTTCTAACATTTGAAATAGTCTCCAAGCAATATATCTGCATGCCAAGCATGGCATGCTTAACACATGCCAAGTTAATTGTGTGAAGACAAATACGATGCGTATACAATTTCTGTTAACTAATGTATTGGTATATGCAAAAGTCGTTAATTTTATTGATTTGTTTAATTTTAGGGTGATTCTGGCGGTCCGCTTGTCTGTATTCACACGCACCCACAGACTGGTATTAGTCGTTGGTATCTTGCTGGCGTAACAAGTTGGGGATATGGTTGTGCTCAGGCGAATAACCCTGGTGTGTACACGCGAGTTCCTCGGTACTATACTTGGCTACAGGACCATGGTGTCATGCTATAACTGAGTGACCCGACTAACGATACACTATGACATTGTCATTATAATTTGATCTCTTTTTTTGAAAATTCTGCGATGAATAGAAACATAACAAAGTAGATAACTAGTTTCTTCTTAAAAGGTGTACAATTGCCTATGGTTAATATCTGGGACATTTCTACTTACATGTAAGTTTCACTTCTATATGCTTTTACATCAGTGAATAAAGTAGTTTTTTGCATAAATTTGTCATTGTATATTTTTCTTCTCAAAATGGGTTTTGCGAATTACAAATCACAGAATCATGATATGAAATGACAAGCGTATGATAGTAGGTAGGTAATACCCATATGATAGTAGGCAGGTAATACCCATATGATAGTAGATGGGTAATATCCATATGACAGTAGGCAGGTAATACCCATATGATAGTAGGCAGGTAATACCCATATGACAGTAGGTAGATACTACCCATATCATAGTAGGTAGGTAATACCCATATGATAGTGGGCAGGTAAAACCAATAGGATAGTAGGTAGGTAATACCCATATGATAGTAGGCAGGTAATACCCATATGACAGTAGGTAGGTAATACCCATATGATAGTAGGTCGGTAATACCAACAATATGATAGTAGGTAGGTAATACCCATATGATAGTAGGTAGGTAATACCCATATGATAGTAGCCAGGTAATACCCAAATGACAGTAGCCAGGTAATACCCATATGATAGTAAGTAGGTAATACCCATAGGATAGTAGGTAGGTAAGACCAATACGATAGTATGTCAGTAACACCCATATAATTGTAGATCGGTAAAACCCATGTAATAGTATTTCGGTAATAGCCATATGATAATAGGTCGGTAATACCCATATGACAGTAGGTAGGTAATACCCATATGATAGTAGGTAGGTAATAACCATATGACAGTACGTAGGTAATACCCATGCAATTGTAGGTCGGTAACACCCATATGATAGTAGGTCGGTAACACCCATATGATAGTAGGTCGGTAACACCAATATGATAGTAGGTCGGTAACACCCATATGATAGTAGGTCGGTAATACCCATATAATTGTAGGTCGGTAACACACATATAATTGTAGGTAGGTAATACCCACATGATAGTAGGTCGGTAACACCCATATAATTGTAGGTAGGTAATACCCACATGATAGTAGGTCGGTAATACCCATGCAATTGTAGGTCGGTAATACCCATGTAGTTGTAGGTCGGTAACTCCCATATGATAGTAGGTCGGTAACACCCATATGATAGTAGGCCGGTTACACCCATATAATTGTAGGTAGGTAATACCCATATGATAGCTGGTCGGTAATACCCTTATGATAGTAGCCAGGTAATACCCATATGATAGTAGGTAGGTGATACCCATATAATTGTAGGTAGGTAACACCCATATGATAGTAGGTAGGTAATACCCATATGATAGTAGGTCGGTAACACCCATATAATTGTAGGTAGGTAACACCCATATGATAGTAGGTAGGTAACACCCATATGATAGTAGGTCGGTAACACCTATATGATAGTAGGTAGGTAATACCCATGCAATTGTAGGTCGGTAATACCCATGTAGTTGTAGGTCGGTAACACCCATATAATTGTAGGTAGGTAATACCCATATGATAGCTGGTCGGTAATACCCTTATGATAGTAGCCAGGTAATACCCATATGATAGTAGGTAGGTGATACCCATATAATAATAGGTAGGTAATACCTATTGATAGTAGGTAGGTAAAACCCATATGATAGTAGGTACTTAGTACCTATATGATAGTAGTAGGTAACACCCATATGATAGTAGATACGTAATACCCATATGATAGTAGGTAGGTAATACCCACATGATAGTAGCCAGGTAATACCCAAATGATAGTAGGTAGGTAATACCCATATGATAATATGTCGGTAATACCCATATGATTGTAGGTCGGTAATACCCATATGATAATCGGTCGGTAACACCCATATGATAGTAGCCAGGAAATACCCATATGATACTAGGTAGGTGATACCCATATAATACTAGGTAGGTAATACCCATATGATAGTAGGTAGGTAATATTCATATTATAGTAGGTAGGTAATACCCATACGATAGTAGGTAGGTAACACCCATATGATAGTAGGTTGGAAATACCCATATGATTGTAGGTCGGTAATACCCATATGATAATAGGTCGGTAACACCCATATGATAGTAGCCAGGAAATACCCATATGATACTAGGTAGGTGATACCCATATAATACTAGGTAGGTAATACCCATATGATAGTAGGTAGGTAATATTCATATTATAGTAGGTAGGTAATACCCATACGATAGTAGGTAGGTAATACTCACATGATAGTAGGTCGGCAACACCCATATAATTGTAGACCGGTAACACCCATATGATAGTAGGTAAGTAATACCCATATGATAGTGGGTAGATAATACCCATATGACAGTAGGCAGGTAATACCGATATGATAGTAGGTAGATAATAACTATATGATAGTAGCCAGGTAATACCCATATGATAGTAGGTAGGTGATACCCATATAATAGTAGGTAGGTTATACCCTTATGATAGTAGGTAGGTAAAACCCATATGATAGTAGGTACGTACTACCTATATGATAGTAGGTAGGTAATACCCATATAATAGTAGGTAGGCAATACCCATATGATAGTAGGTACGCAATACCCATATGATAGTAGGTAGGTGATACCATATAATAATAGGTAGGTAATACCCATATGATAGTAGGTAGGTAACGCCTATATGATAGTAGGTAGGTGATACCCATATGATAGTACGTAGGTAATACCCATATGATAGTAGGCAGGTAACACCAATATGATAGTA